ATTTTCACCTTTTCCGGGCCTTCTCGCCATGAGAAACCCTTATCTGGACTTTTCAGCGCATGAAAATAGCGAAAATGAGCTTTATTCAAGCTTTTCAGATCTAAATTCAGTGAAGATATGCCGGAAAAAGCCGCGTCCCGCCTTCCCCGTTCCACGCCCTGCCCGCTTTTCCGCTGAATGAAGACCTAAAAAGCTCCTAAAAAAGTTTATTTTCGCCATTTTCATGCGTTGGAAAGCCCAGATATTTGTTTCTCATGGCAAGAAAGCCCCGAAAAGGTGTAAGTCTGGACAACGTTCTGCCGAGCCGCTGCCTTTAAGAGCAGCATGGTTTTATTAACGACTCCTCTACTTGCACTCAGTTGTTGAAACGTTGCAAAAATTGAATGGACACTTTTAGTGATGGAAAATACATTAACACGTTGACGACCTTGTGCATACGCACGTATGCACGCCCTGACTCCCGTTTAGCATTTTCGTCATCCGCGCATATGCACGCTATTTTTTGAGTGTAAACGAAAAGTTTCAAGGTAACTTTTATGCAGTAATACTATTGGTGCCCTGATTGCCTTACAAAATACAGGGCATCCCGGCAGCTGTTCAGAAGTTTTGGCCGCAAAATTGGGTAGTATGTCCGTTTTTGATGCGCGCGTCCCCCCCCCCCCGTCGGTACGCCACTGATATACATATACATATGTTTCTCTGAACATAGTTTGCATGTTTTATGAATAAGCATCAAAAAGACTCCCACACAATGTTTTCGTGCATACGCGCGTATGCACGGGCCAAATGCGCGAAGGACGTTAGTGTGAGTTTCGTCCAAAATGGCGCGGTCGTCAACGTGTTAAATACATTTATTCTGATCTTAGCAAAGCTTTCGACACTGTCAAACACTATGGACTCCTTACCAAACTCAATAGCACAGGTATTAGTGGGAATCTTTTCGAATTCTAATAAGCGCAGCGCCATGGAAACGGCTGTCGACCGGTAGCGAACACAGAATCAGCAATCAGATTTATCCGTATGACATATGGAAAGAATCAGATAGGCAGGATAACGGAATAGATCACGATGGAAATCCTGGGGCGAGTCGGTGGGAGAATACAGAGGCAGTACGCGTCAGCGGGAGACGGTGGGCGAGTTCATGTCTGACCGTCCAGTAGCGTGTCGGTGGGGAGACTCCTCGAGCACGACGACGATTGACCACGCTGCGTAAAGCTAAGCGAGATTCTCTCACATTTTTCAAATCCCTTCTATCTAAAGGGGCTTTTGAACTTAACTAATAAAACCAAAGATCTTTAAAAATGCCTCGTCATTCGAGCATGCTGCAAGAGAGGCCCTTTCTGCTCTCTTGTTCGTATATGATAGAGCTTTCTAATCTACTAAAACAGGCTCTCGAATCAGTGTAGCCGCTACGTTGATGATATCAAGTTATAAGCTAACCAGTGCGTCACCTCTGCTTCGCACAGGCTCGCACTGGCCCTACTTTCTGCATGTCTTACTCATTCCCACAGAATTATGACATTGAAACTCACCGCACTATGCAGGCTTTCACGAATAAATTGAAAACAACTACTCATTCTGAGAGCTTTTTTGTGTGAGATCGGTATTTTCGCGTGGATGAAACCTTTCCGAGAGGAATAAATGCAAACTTGAATAGGTTTTTGGACTTTTTATGTCCTGGTAGTCGCCATAACGACGATGATCACTGTTGGCTACATCTTGGTGCAAAAATCTTCTCAAATGATCAGGTAGATTCCTTGAAAATTGAAGATTCACGCAACTAATTTTTTCGGCGCCATTTTCGTAAAGTGATCAACTTTAGTTCAGTTTTTCGAGCCAAAGTCTGTGGCTTGCACATTAGCTTGTTGATCATATCCATGACTTCGCAAAAAGTGGTGGAACAGGCCCAATTTTGCTGGCCAGAAGCCAAGTGGATCCGTTTGAAGCGCAATTTTTGAGGAATCCACTCAACGAATCTGCTCGTGCTTTTGCATGTTGAACTTTCATGCTGCTAGCATGCGCCATGCAAAATTTGGGCTCCGGACGTTGGCTGGAATACGCTCCTCGAATTTCGTAACGGACAGACAGACACACACATAAAAAAACGTAAACATCCTTAGCCCGTTATTATAAGTTATGATTACGAGATTCATGAAAAGCTGAGAGACAATCAGTACATCAAGTGCTACAATGAACTAACGATTGCACAAAATCAACTTTTTTAAGAGCCAACTGTTAAGATTTGGGAGCTTGACTAAATCTGATTATGGAGTTCCCTTTGTAGGTGACTGGGTGTGACTTGTCCCTTTCCTGAAGTTTTTCTTTCATATCGATTCTGTTGTCTCTAGAACATCGCTTGTGGACTCCTTGTTCGGTGGACATGTAAATAATTTACTCGTTTAACCTGAACTCTATGCTTATGTACTACCTGTTTCGGAATACGACAGCTCTGTATGGAATGCTAGTCAGATGGAACTTATTGATAAAATGAATTTAACGCACATTTAACAAAACATCAGACTATCGACCCTAGTTCTTTACCTAGCATAACAGTTCGTTAGCATTTTTCGGCCTCGAAGCCACCGTCCACCCAAACTGAGGATGACGAGGTTTTGATGTTATATGGTAAGGGGGGGGGGCCCTAACTAAGTAATGCTGAATTCTCGCTGCAAAGGATGAATTCCAAAGAGAGAAAACCGCTCCAAACAGAAGCGACCGCGCATGTTCCGCCATCAAGGGTGGCCTGAAGACCACGAGTTTGAAAGGGCTTCAAGGTAGACTGAAAAGGTTTATAATAACATGGTAAAAAAAACATGCGATATGACAGCTGTTACATGCAAATTAGTGATTGGCATTGTAAGCTTATACTCATCTCATCTTACACTCAGTTTTCCAATGCCACACGTTTGCTACTTGCTGCTCAAACACAGTAGAAGTGTGGGCAGAAGATAGTGTAATGAAGAACTAGGCATGCGCTTTTTAGCCGTATCGCTTAGACCACTCGTAAACGTACCTGCTCAAAAGTGTCCTATCGCATATGTAATACCATAAAGTAATCTGACGCCATGTTCTGTTCTCTCGGCAATTTCTGCAACATGGCCTTCTATATAGTTATGCTACATATCAGTCGAGTCTAGCTCATGATTAGGCGTTTATTATTATGTTTGGCAGCTCTGGTCCGCTTACGCATGTGCAAAAGTCAATGATAATCGTTTACTTAGAGTATGCTATGATGTATACAGCAATGTGCAATAAATATGAATAAAGAGGCATTTGACTCTACGGAAGATAACATAATCGAGGATTCCACATTTAAAGGCAGTGTCCGGGCAAAAACTCGATTTTGAGATTTTATGCTTACTTGGGCCTATTCGCTACGCTGAATCCAAAAATGCACATTGTAGAGCGCGAAAATGGCGAAAAACGGCTCTAACACAGGAGGGAAATGAGCAGGTGGGCGGGGTCCTCCCTACTGCGAATTCACGTTCCCGGCTTCCGGAGCGACCTTCTCGCTTCCGGTTTCAAGCCAATCATTCGCACTTGACCGGTAGCGATGTTAGGACGGCTAGCGGAATCGAGAAAATCGCTCCGGGAGCTGGGAGCTTGAGCACTGGGGAAAGCCCCGCCCACCTGCTGATTTCTCTCCTGTGTTAGAGCCCTTTTCCGCCGTTTTCGCGCTTTCCAATGTGGATTTTCGGATTCAGCATGATGAATAGGCCCGTATAAGCACAAAATCTCAAAATCGAGTTTTTGCCTGGACACTGCCTTTAAGTCAGCATAGTTTTACTCAGTGTGACAAATAGGTTCATAAATTTGGAATTTCTTCTCTGATGGTCCGTTCATGTCCCATGAAATATCCTACCGCGTCCGTTTTTTCTCTTGCACATGAAAGCATTAGTTTCTTGACACTTGGTCTTATATCTCACAACCCTCATGAGTAGCATTATAGTAACCAGCACATTAATGAACCCACTGGACGGTTTACAATTAATTGATTAGTTTGAGCGATTGATTTTTTTTGTTTGTTTACCAATGTGCGGTGTCGACAATTGTAAATAATTTTCAGGACCACGGGGCATATACAAGATACTGAAGCTCTGACGGCTTTCTTGTCCAGAAGAGCCGGAAACACGTGATGTACAAGCGACTGAATGTCTCAAGACCGTACGGACCACCACTGCCCCACTACGAAAATGGGCAATACCATGACATTGCCAGCGCACCCACTCGGAATTAGGCGGGAATGGGATGACATACCATGTGACCTCTGGCGCAAACCTTACATTTTGCTAATGCACGGAAAGTCATGTTTTCAATTCCCTGAAATTCTTTTAGAATTTTTGCAAGATTGCGACTATAACGTTTTGAGGAAAGAGGACATAACGCCACTGTATTTCGAAATTTTTGTACGGAGCCGGTTCAATTCCTAATCATAAAACAATTCTAATCCTTCGCAAAAAATCATTAGCATACAATTCGAAATTTGCGACTCCTCTATAGGCGAATCACCCCATAAAGAAATAGGTCGCCATTACGAGCAGTGTCGGCGTCTCTCATATCGAAGAACTTTCTTTTTTCCGACCGTGTGCTTCTCTCCAAACGCGTACTATTTTAATCGGACATAATAAGGCTGTTTTTGCGTGTGACATAGGTATGCCAGTGGTGGTCCCAGGACTTCTGCGCGACAAAAATTGTTCGGAAGGTGCGTGGCGTTAGCCTATAACCCATGTAAGTAACTTTCAGAGATCCTGCGACCCATCCTCGGGGGGGGGGGGGGGGTATCCTGTTGGAAAGTTTGATCACTGCAAATTGATACATGTGGTTGTAAAACCCTTTTTTTTTCATGGAAAGCAGCGAAAGTGTAATATAGCAATGGACTCGAATTGCAGAATGAGTGCATCTCAAAGACTAGTAGACTTTCGTCTCATTTGATTTGGGGTATGCGCCTGCTGCTGACAACTATAGTGTTTGAGACAATCAAAACAATTATTTAATGTACACAGAAATTGATCGCAACATTGTATAAATTTCCATGCACGCAATGAATAGGTGTTGTGATAATTTCGTTTCAATATCCATTAATTAATGAGAACTACACTAGTCCATTTTTCGTGGAGAGACCAATTCCCCGCTAACCTCTTCCATACCTTAAAAGGGAAATTTTTTACACTGAGTTAAGGCAATCAACTCACGGCATACCATTTCCAAGTGAGGTTATCCTCCAATACGACGGATGCTCAGGTGTTACGAAGAAAAGCATAGAAATGGCCTTAACAATAACATAAGAATAAAGTTAAGTGTTACCTTCTATAATTAACTCTACGCTTCACAATTCATTGAAAGGCACCTAATTTTTAGGAAGAAGGGAACTAGGCTAAAAACCCTAAAACAGCGACCGAGCGGATAGAAGAAGTCTTGAAAAGAGAAGTTCACTACGTCATAATCTGCATGTTTCAAAAGTTACTGGTTCCAAACAAAAGAAATAATCTCCAAGTATTGAATGTAGGCATCCCAAATTCTGTTTGGTGGTTTCATATACCACAAGTATGCGTGCATGGCTCGAATGTGAAGCTGAAGGCAGTACTACCAGATTTTGGGTTTCACTTTTTGAAAATTTTTGGCAAGAAGGAAATTTTGGAAGTTATCCCTTTTTGTTCTGAAAAAGAAAATTGCGTTGATTATCTTTTGATTTATGCCAGCGGACCCGCACGCTCAAGTTCCAAAAAGTGGGCTGCTTTTTTAGTGGAAGAAAAACTTCCACACTTTCCTTCTATTGACCTTGTTTTCCTTTCAAAGTTAAGTTGCGAGCTATCGTTCTGTTGTCGTGAAAGTTTGCAAATTGATATCATGCACTTCTCCCATGCTTAAGAGAGAGCCATTACTGTATGATGTGAAATTTAACATTTCCATGTTTCATCTGCACTTGGGAATCTCTCACAAAATACCCTACCTCATCTTTCTTTATACTGCCATAAGCATTGTACGCAAAGCATCCAATTATAGAAGCTAGTATTACTCCAATTAAGATGTGGGACACTACGAAAGCTGCATCATTCTAGAACCTTTCTTTGAGTAACAACTATCACTTTGCAAACATCAAACGCACATCAAACGATGCTAATGAATAACCATAATATGCTACCATTAATGTCTGAAACAGAATGAGATGATACCATGATTAATCAGTGACCAAGTCGCACTGGCGATTTCTACTCATGACTATGTTCTATGTCGCTCAGCAAGAAGAAAAATGTTTTGGAAATAGCATTTGAAGACAAATTTGGTGACGTACGTCGCTGTCCTATTTGCCAGTACGACCTCGACGGCTTGTAAGTACAGTACAACAGATATGACGGTTAATACGTGCTGCGCTGCTGCTGTCATTAGCTGTTAAGAAATGATAATAGGCAAGAGATTTGAAGGCAGCGCTCGATCAGATCCTCCTTCCATGGTTTTTTCATTTCGAGCCTTTCCGTAATCCTGCTTCCATAATGCGCAGTCCCCAAAAGCTCAAAAAACCCCGGTTTGGGAACTGCCTCCATGAGCGTGGACCAATACATCGGCTCCAATTTGGTGTTACGCCACGTCAAAACAACGTGAAAGTTAGATACACGGATCGCAGTCGCCACGTGAAAGTGGCGCGACAAGGTGTAAGCTCTTCCACGCAGGTCTGAGGGGAGCAGAAATGGGTTGAGGGAGCCGCATTGAGAACATAGGTCACAAAGGTCGCATTTCCAAGTAAACTAGTGACTTTATGGTTGTGAGAAGTCCTACCCAACTGTTCAACATCTCAGGTAAGACGATTGTGCCCGGACGCTGCCCTCAAAAGCAGTATCCCATCAGATTTTGCATTTCGAATTTTCTGCACTGTTTTCTCTTCACATCTTATATATAAAGCTGAATGTCTGTTTGTATGTCTGTCTGTCTGTCTGTCTGTATGTACAGGGTGTCCCAAAAAGATGTGCACACTGTTTGATTGTTAATAACTTTCTTGTTTTCGTGTCTTTTGCCAAGCTTGAGATACCATTCTGTAGAGCGAGGATAAACTTAGATTTACAGTATGGAGGGACTTACCAGCCGCTTTTCATTACTGTAGAATTACGGTAGGAATTTCGAAGAGGATTTTCAGCAATGAAAAGCTGTATTTTGCCTTAGAAAAAAGCCAAATAAGCCAGAAACTCTTGAACTGGGTTAATCATAGTCGCTGATTCTAAATATGAGAACTGCACGTCGGTACACTGTTTTTTTTTCATGAGTTAATTCAGATTTAGGGTAAAACCGATTTTCCAGTGTTCAGCAGAAATGTGAATACGCCATCAAGAAAGCTCGAAAAACTGATGAAAAGTTATGTAGTGAAATCAGCACGCCTGAAAACCTTGCTACACAATTTTTTAGATTTTTTGAAATTATTTCATCGAAAGGCTTATTCCACAGTGATGATGTATGCTGAAAGTTCACACCGTAATCCTACAGTAGCAAAAAGAGACTGGAGTTTCACTTAATACTGTAAATCTAAGTTTATCCTCGCTCTACAAAATGATGCTTCAAGCTCGGCAAAAGACTTGAAAGCAAGAGAGTTATTAACGATCAAACAGTGTGCACATCTTTTTGGGACACTCTGTATGTATGTCTGTCTGTGTGTACGCATGTTCCGAATAGAAAATTCCATTTTTCAACAGATCCGGACCAAACTTGGCACACATACACTTCGGGCCCCGGCGCGTGTCATAGGCTACTTTTCGTATCGATCGATATCGATTTTATCGATTTTTTGCAAAATTTGAGCTACGGGGCTGGGAGTTGGCACAGGGGGGTAAGTGAGCATGGGGATTCCGAATAAATATTAGTTTTTAAAATCGTGCATTACTTTTATCGATTTTATCGAGCCGGGTAAGCCAGCTAGTAACACATAAATTCGAGCTTCGAAAAGGTGAAAGGGTTTTATCATGGCGATTACGATTTCAAAAGTATGCTCGACGAGAATGCAAATGGAAATTTGAAAGGTTTTGGCAAACGTGCACAATGCGCAGTAGTCATGATATCCCGCGCAGAATAGGAGGCGACGTGCGGGCGTTTGCCAAACTAAGGCACGCACGCCGATTAAGATGGGTTTTCTTTTGCCGACAGGGTGCAGAATCAAATACAAGCTGACAAGGAGGCGATAAGGTTATTTCGGAAGTAACTTGAGTCTGCCTTCAAATGTGCTGCTACTATCATGTACAACGGAAGTTGTGTCTCCAGTACAGAAATGACAACTATACGCGCTTGTCGGCACCTTCGGACACGGCATAAACGTATTTTCCTCGATTGTACGAATATATGTAACCTACGAGTAAGATGAATACCACGAAGTCAAAAATTTTGAGATGAAAAGGGTGCGCCGGTGAGTTCCATGGTCGATATCCGTCCTTTATAGGATAAAGCTGTAAGAGATCAATGGCATATTCGCGTGTACCTGGAAGCGTCACTTTGAATCGATAGTTCAATTAGGGAGGCAGGTGAAATTACTGCTTGAAAAAGACCATACTGCTGTGAGTGAATATCCATCAGAGCGGCCAACAAGTAGCTGTATGCTAAACCGTTTCCGGGCATTTTCACAGCTGGCTGCATGTATGTATGCATGCATTTATGCGCAAGATACAAAAATGCAAGTGGGGGCAGCTCCGCCCGCTTTTGGCAAGCCCTGCCCCCTTTTCAAAAATACCGAGATTTGCACAAATTCACGAATCCGTGCAAATTCCGGCACTTTTGAAAAGCGGGCGAGGCTTGCCACTGAGGGGGCGGAGCCTGCATAACGGGAGGCAGGGTTGAGATTAAGGTTATTTTGAGTTTCCTCAGTCATCTACATGCTTTCCTATGCTATTTGAGAAGGAAAAGATTTTTTGTGGAGGGCACTAAAGTGGGCGGAGTTTGCCAGAAGGGGGCGGGGCCAACATGAAATACTTCTAACCCTAAATTGATTATGTGAACACAAATCGGAACCATTGTGCACAAAAGAACTGATATTCTGGGTGTCGCACGCCATTGCGCGACATCGTACACAGGGACAGACTGCCTGTCGCGCACCATTGCGCATCACTGTGACACTTCAACGTCTTAACAGAAATGTATGATTGGTTTGGTTGAAACTCTTTTATGCCGCACTTGACAAGAATCAAAATAGATTGAACTTCACGTTCCCCGATTGAGATCGCGTAATCTCAGAGCTTAGGTCTTCGTGAACCAGAAGTCAATATCGGTCTTGTTACTTCTATTCCGATTTACTCATTTTACCTAAGGGCGAAAATGCTTATAAAAAGTGCAGTTCGCCGTGAAAGAGTTGGATATGGAATAAAACACCCCCGTCCCCCTCTCAAGCGTAAAAAAAGATCCTTTTAGCTCGAACTTGTTCAATGTATTCGTATTGGTTACCCCAACGATATAGTCTCCATCTTGCAGTAGACTTCACAAGGGAAGCTACCTAACTTAGCTCCGCCTTTTGGCAATGGACATATATAGTCTGAATCAGTTTAAAACGCTGATTCCAAATATGCTATTTCTAGCTGCCACGCACCATTCCGAAGCGAGTTATGGGCTTTTTCCTGCGCAAAGTTGGCATGCTCATCGACTCACGGGTATCACGTCATCATCATTTGAGTGCTGATACACCTGTGTTAAGCTTTTTTTAGTAAGAAAAGATTGATTTGTAATCATAACTTATAATAACGGGCTAAAGGTTGTTTACGTTTGTCTGTCTGTCTGTCTGAATCTCTGTCTGTCACGAAATTCGTGGAGCGAGTTCCAACGAAGGTTTTGAGCTGATTTTTTGCACAGCGCCTGCTACCAACATGAGAGTCTACTATACAAAAGCACGAGCGGATCCATTGTGTGGATCCCTCAAAAAATGTGCGTCAACCGGATCCACTTGGCTTTTGGCCAGTAAAATTGAGTCTGTTGCGCAACTTTTTGCAAATTTAAGGATATTTTTGACATGTTAATGTGCAAGTCATGGTCTTTAGCCTAAAAAATTGAACTAAAGTTTATTACTCTGCGAAAACGGCGCCAAAAAGAATTGGTTGCGTAAATGTTCAATTTGCCAAGATTTTACCCGATGGTTTGAGAAGATTCTTGCACAGATATGTAGGCCACGGTGATTATGGCATCTTAACGCGAATATCAAGCCATGAAAAGTCCAAAAACCGACTCAAATCTGCATTTGTTCTTTCGAGAAAAGTTTCGTTCATGCGAAATTGCCGATCTCATATGGAAAAGCTTTTGGAATGAATAGTTGTTTACAAATCATTCGTGGTAGTCTGCATACGGCGGTGAGTTCCAATATCATTATTGTGCGAGAATGAGTAAGGCATACAGATAGTAGGGCCAGTGCGAGCCTCTGCGAAGCAGAGGTGAAGCACTGGTATTTCGATACCTCAGCACCTTTTCTTGCAGATTTTTATCTACGAGCAGTCTTCTCATGTTCAGTGGTAATTTTTGCGTAGGAAAAAGCCCAACTCGCTTCGAAATGGTATATGGCAGCCAGGAATAGCATATTTGGGATCAGCGTTTGAAGCTGATTCAGAATTTACATGCCTTTTAAAAAAGGCCGAGCTAAGTTAGGTAGCTTTCCTTACCAATAAAAAAAATAAAAAGGTAGTCCAGTTCTGCAAACTGACTTACCATAAATCAGTACAAATACTATCACCATCATTGCTACTGTGAGGAAAAGCATATACTTAGTGAAATGGTTCAAAACTTGATCCCATATAGCACCAATGCTCTGCAAGGTTTACAAAGTTTATCCTAATCATTTTACCTTTTGTTCCGGCATTTATGAATTTGGTGTGGTGTGCCAGCAAATTGACGTTGTTGACCATTGGCAAGTAAGAACATCCTTCAAGCATTTTCCATGCCAATCGCTCTCAGTGTCGGAAAATTCCAAAGACTTTTTACCCATCATCATCTTAAGCTTATTAACCGCGATAGCAGGTCTATGTGTGGGGAGGGAGGGGGGGGGGTCTACTATGCACTGAAATAAGCCGACACACAGATGCTTCACAGATTGTGCGCCCCGATGCTACCCCCTTAATTGCAAGACTGGATTGTGTTTAGACTTCTTGCAAAGTCATGATTTTGTATGACCTTGAACTTGAATAAGATCCTTGAAAATGGCCTCTCCATCCATATGCATACAGTCTTCAAAGTGATTGAACGCTGAGTTCGAATCCGTTTTCCTTGCCTGCGAAGCATCTCTAAGTGAGGAGTTAAGAGCGTTTTATAGGTGAAAAACTGGACGCATCAGGGTAAAATCAATGGGAGAGCCTTCCCAACTCTGATGGGATAATGCGAGCACGAGGCTAGAGAAATTTTTTTTATAAGAAGGTTCAAAACTCATCAGTGTTTTATCTGAGTTCAAGAGAGTTCTCTCTGATTGATTTTCTCCTGAAATTCGCTACGAAAGCTTTTATGACTTCTTGTCTAGAGGGCTCTGCAGATAAGGAAAGATTTGGAATCAGCTTTCAATGCCGTTCAAGAAGATATGCGTTCTTCTGGGAAGGTATCTTCGACTAAGGATTCTTATCTGTAAGAAGATTACTAAGCAAGCTGGGACTTAAGCCAAAATCATCAAATATATCGTTTGTGAGAAATGCGAACTGGAATGAGCAGATGCTCACAATTCAGCTGTAATGATCAGCACACTGCGGTGTAAAGCCAAGCTTGTGCGAGCAACCAGATGGTAGGACCAGTGCGAGCCCCTACGAAGCGGAGGTGATACTGGTATACGATGTTCCTATTAGTGCAACAGATCATCTATAAGCATTAGGCGCTTTCGTTTCAATGTCTTACGAGCCAACCTTTCCATTTTCGAACAATTGCGTCCGCCTCAGCACTAATTATCTTTAGCCCACTAGAATTTCTACAATGTTGCTGGTGACGAGTCGCTCCGATTTTATAAAAAAGACTGCCATCTTTTATAATGACAAAGAACTTTCTTAGTTTTGAAATTGAACCAGTGGCGCATTGATTCGAGGCTGGGATCGGGTGTCACGACTGGGTGTTCCGATGTTTTCTTCACTCTAAGCCAACTAAATTTGAGCCCTTTATCCTCTGGAGGTGGAATGATAGCAAATTAAAGTTTAAGGGCAAATGGTGCATTAGGCTCAATATTCTGTGCCAATTTGTGCCGCTCTTGGCCAGGGCATCTTCCAGAAATAGTTAAGATTGATTGATTCATTGTAATGCGGCTGATTACTGTGGTGTCGCACTGAGAACTTCTCACTAGGAAATATACTATCCATGACAGCATCGACTAAGATCGAAAGAACAAACCGTTATTGATCGAGGCACAGACATAAGAAATGCCATCAAACAGAATGCAATCAATGCCCATGCTGTCCATAGTTGTCGGTGATGCTCTACTCTGTCACGAACTTCAGCACAGATTGTAAGCATGTGCCCTAGAAATACCCTTCGTAGCATTGAATGACAATGAAGTGATTCTTACCGCAAAAGTTGATGGTACCAATCATGGACATGCAGCCGATGTGTAATATTGCCCAAAATGTAGATTTGTTATTCTCCATTAGGACTTCTGTTACCGTGGCAATGACAAAATGGTGACCTCAAAGACGGGCTCTACGCAGGAGTGAAGCATAGTATAAAAGTAGCGGGCTCCAGAGCAGCTCAGCTGAGACCCTGATCACTTTATTGGCAAAGGTTTGTATTATACTTCAACACGTAATTGGGAAAGGTGAATTTTACGAATTACATGGACCTCAACTTGATAACTGTTCAAATCGTTGTGCAGAAGATGAATTGTGAAACCAGAAGTTTGTTGAGTATCCGGGCAGATTTGGACATTATAGGACACCAACTGGCTTTCATGATGTTCTTCCTTTTACTTTCTTCACCTTCTCCCCTCCCTCTTCTTTTTCCTGCACCTTTGCATCCGAGCGATAGCGCTTCTGTGATAAAGTTGTCTTCTACCCACCGCTCCGCTCCGGAGCACCGCATTCTTCTCACCGCAAATGTATAGGCGATGTCACCTCGCATCGGTCGTGGGTGTTCACAAGTTGAGGCTGCGCGCGCGCCGCGCGGCGGAAACGATACGCGAGCGTGATTGTTGAGATGTCTTCAGACTTGTGACCGCTATGGGCTCACCTTGCTCTTCTTACGTTATCCTTTATGCGACTACATTTGCTTGCGTGAGTTCATGTCTAATTGCCGTTTATACGCTTGCAATTTGACATATTTCGTTATTTAGATGACACAGTTTTCGTTAAAATGATACAATGCTGCGACGGGTTAAATTTTTGCTTTGATTACTTATAATGGTCCTGGAGCTCGAACAATGATAAGGCTTGCGTAACTGAGTTGTGATATGCCGTCGTAGTATCTTTCGATGTGTCCTTTCGACTGCTGTCTACAAGCACATCGATTGAGTAAATCTTTGATCGTGGTACACCACATCGAGAGAGGAACAAATTTAATTAGTGGAAAGGACATTGGAAGTTTCGTTGGTCACTATTCTAGCCATACATGAGCTTCCGCGCTCGAGCATCGTTTCCGCCGCTTCAGCGCGCACAGCTTCAGCTCGTGAGTACCCACGACCGATGCGGGGTGACATCGCCTATAAATGAGATCCGCCGGCCCTTTCACATGGCTCTTTGAAATAACCAACCGGTAGTGATTGATGAGCTATCATTCGCCGCAAAGAGTAGCCTATCGTGTGCGCAGGAGTTGAAGCATACGTGTGCAAAGTCTGGCGCTTTCTGGTCAACGCCCCGAGATTTCTATCCGACAAATACTTCACGCAAAAGTGCTCACAAACTTTGAGTTATATATATATATTAGGTCGTTCCGAAAGTTCTTTCCGTTTTTTCAACCTATCATAAAAACACGTGGAATGAGGGTAGAGAAACGATTCAAGCGCTATCCGATGGACTTTTTCTTCCTCTTTTCAACAGTCATATTCCTGTGTCGCTTGCTCTTGTGGTCAGTGAGATAATGGCCGAAATTTCCAACCCATGGTTTTTACCATGTCCAACTTTGGCAATTTTTCACAATTTTCTTTTTTGACTGTCAAAGAAGCTTTAACAGCGATCAAATAGAGTAAGCAAAGTGCAATTTAATGGAATTTTTTTGGCATCTATTGCTAGCCCTGAAATTCTTTTAGAATTATTTTTCTGATACTATTAAATTCCACTTTTGGTGATGCCAAGAACAATGAAACATGAAACGGCGCACAACTAAGGTGTCATTCGATGCGGCTTTTCCTCCTCTTTCTATTGAGTATTTTTCTTTCCAATTTGTGGGGGTTTTTGGCGATAAAATTTCCAAAACTCTCGATTTTGAACCCGTCAGAGGTTGTGCACGTGAAATGCGAAATCTTATATTTCGAAGCGGTAAACACTCAGTTACTTTGTAAAAATAGTGGACAATCATAAACGACTTTTCCTAGTGTCAAAATCCGAAGATTTGTTAATGTTCGGAGCGTTTGCGTGTTTTGTGACTTCGAAAAAGTGAAGACTTCTGAAAAAATTGTCTCAAAAAATACTGAGAAGCCAGTTGAAATTGCCAAAAAATTCCATTAAATTGCACTTTGTTTACTCTATCCGACTGCTTTTGAAGCTTCTCCAAAAGTCAAAAAAGAAAATTGTGAAAAATTGCAAAAGTAGGACATGGTAAAAACCATGGGTTGGAAATTTCGGCCATTATCTCACTGACCACAAGAGCAAGCGACACAGGAATATGACTGTTGAAAAGAGGAAGAAAAAATGCGTCGGATAGCGCTTGACGCGTTTCCCTACCTTCGTTCCATATGTTTTTATGATAGGTTGAAAAAACGGAAAGAACTTTCGGAACGACCTAATATATATATAGACTATCATAACCGAGTAGGGGCCTCGACCTAGAACTATCGCACTAGTCCGCTTTTTGTACATTCCCTGTAAAAAGAGGAAATCGGTGCAGAAAACGACGAGCATCGAGGACCACGCCCACTCCCTCGCACAGCCCCCCCCCCCCCCCTCCGCCTTGAACGAACTCTCTTCAGCTCCTGACGTGTTTTCAGGTGGCAAACATGATGGAACAAACAATGTCTATCTGTTAATGCTTGCTTTCGACAAGGACTGTATCAAAAGCACTCGTCCATGCTTCTCACAGAATCGTCTCAAAAAATGGGATTTTTGGAGAATTCACACGGACCATATTTGGGATAAGCGCCGTGAAGAGGCCTAGACAAGGCAAGCAGAAATCGAGATTCTGCCTGGATGCTGCCTTTAACGCCAACCAGCATCAAACTTGTCCTAACTGGTCTCACTTAGGGGGTGGGTTCTCAGCGGCTCCTGTCAGTATTTGCCTAATAAGATATATCTCAAATGCGTTTTGAAGGCATGTAACATTTTAATAGAACTTAAAGCTGAGATTAGAAGTTAGCATTCTCACAATAAAACTATGAAACACAACTGGACTCAATCAAATGGACGACATTGGTGAGCAAAAATTTTTTCGGCTTATCGAGTAGCTCGTTATGGAGATTTTTCGCCACATCCGACCTATGTTACTAGGTGCGTTCGCATCCATACCAATCAAGATTTAGTAGGCGTAAATCACTGTTGATAAAGAAGGAAGTGAAAAGGCAGTTACCTTTAGAAAAATCACTTGAACCATGTACACGTTCTTCCGAGCCAAAAAAATGACCTCCTGTGGAGCCAAGGGAGCTAATTATGCTAAGATACATAAAAATGCTGAGTGTGGCCACAACCAGATGGTTGGCCATAATTCCATAAGTAAGCTGAAATGGTCTGATAGAAGCACACATTTTGTTCGATGGAAACGAAAGTCTCGTGCATGACTCTACGTTCGCCGGAACAACGTTGTTAAACCCGAAACGAAGTTTTAGCTGACCATAAGTTTACAGTTACTTTACCCAAAGTATCGAAAAGAACAATGCGCTTGATTTGAAAGCCCTAATCCCTCTCTACATTTCAAGGGCTCTGCAAAAGCGGGCCCTAGCTTCTGTAGCAAATCAGCAAGCTATATGGAGAGCTTTCTAATATTTAGTATTACCCTCCACTGCTTCTAGTAGTCAGCTTCTAAAAATAGAAGTAAATTTCCAATTAGACGGCATAAACCGGTGTTCAAAAAGATACACGTAAAGTTTAGCCAAAACATTCGCACAGGAACTATTTGCGAAGAAAGAGTTGTTTTGTGATTGGTGATATCAACGTACTGCATCATTAGCATATATGTATTTCAGAGTCTTTTGCTAATTATATTATTTGAAAAAAAAATAGTAAGACATTGATGGAAATGTGGTTCTACTTACATTCACCCATTTGGGAAAAGAAGCGTGTCTAGACAACAACGACTGCTTTGCCCAATCTTTAAGGAAGAAGTTTGACGTACCGCAAAAGTATCGTTGTTTTTATTTCGAAATGATGATGTGCATAAAATTCCAGATGTGCCAACACCCAGTGCCAGTATGCTAGCATGAAAAGCGAATATATATGTCTGAAAATAACGATCTCGATGCTGTAGTTCATTTTCGTCAACACTCTGTCATCGCATTTAATGCAAATGACATCGTTAACAGACTGATGAAACCCCTCCCGTTCGGGTAGGAAAAACGATTGCTTCAGGTGGTACAGTAATGTGAATCCCAGACCTACGGAGACGAAATTTATTTCCTCTAAACATTCTATGATTCTCCCCACTCCATCCTTTGTACTTTCTTCTCTTCCTTTTTGTCCGCGACACTGTGGCGCGGCCAATTCAAGATTTCCTTATTTGTTACAAATCGATTCTCAAGATTTTTCGGACCCATGTCTCCCAGGAGTAGACATGTTATAGTGGTAGCTTTCAACAAAACTACCGACATGTGCATCCAGATTAGTTTCTCGGCCCTGTTTTCGTCCGGAAAATAAGTGCTGAGGAGAAGTTAGTCCAGTCTATTTACTAACATTTCGCGGCCACTCTGCGCAAAGTTTCAGCACAATGTACAAACAAAACTGTCTTAGAAGCAGCGTCTCACCAGATTGGGGGGGGGGGGGGGTTCTTGGTCCTGGTATTAATGTAATGGTAGTCCCATAACTAAGCGACAAAAGGTTTGCAGCGCGAAAGGGGGTTTACGAAGTCTACAAATCGCTCCCCCCCCCCCCCCAAGTGGCTCGAATCTTACGGTAGGCCCGAACCCCGCCCACACAGCAATCTCGAACTGCAAGACCAGAGCACGCGTAGCACACGCAGTCATGAGGGCAGGGTCCGGCAACGACTCTGCGTCTCTACCCTGCAATCTCATACTCGCCCGAGCCTACCGCAAGATCCGGGCCGCTTGATGGGCTATTTGTAGACTTTGTAGACCCTCTTTCGGCTGCAAATTTCTGTCGTCGCTTTGTTAGGGGGTCTATCAATACATTACTACCAGAGCCAGGTACCCACAGTTTGGGGCGACCCGCTGCCTTTAAGCTAACATGCATAACATTCCTATACTAGCCTTTTGTTTTATACAGAAGTGAGATAAGTAGAGAAATAAGTCCTTTCAAACATATGTGCGTGCCAATTACCTACGCAAAAGTCAACTTACTGAAGCTACGTTAACACCTTGAGATGGCATGGCATCTGTACGATGCTTGCTAACAACCTTTTTTGGCTCACTTATGCCATCTTCCCACAAAGTCAGTCAAAAACGCTTTTTAAATAGATCATTTCTTTAGAATAAGGCTCCGAAGATAGAAGATCTATCAGACTTAGTTGGATTTCCTAATGAATTAGACTGAATTATATCCTTCCCGTCATTTACTTATTGATCCAATAATTACCTCAATGTTGAAGAGAACTTCAGCATTAGTTGCATCAAGAATTGCACCGATGAATGCACCAAACTTTGCTATAGACATGTACTGTATTGCGGTGATGATATAAAAGATTGCAAACAGCACATCTAAACATGTTTTTTAATCGACACTTCGAAATCATGGAAATGACAGATGCCACTGTGTTGCAGCGACTTAGAAGGCAAATCAAAACAAATTCCAGTTTGCAGTATTGATTATCGGCGTCTTTCTCACAAAAACTGCTTTTCCTAATTCGAGCGTCTTGCCAGCTCTCTATCAACGTAACAAAACTATCATCTACATAATTTCAATATATTGGTACCGAGTAGACATCCAAGCATATATCGCCACGACTAGCTTGTAATTTGATTAGTTATGGAAATTACACAAAATTGACGTACAGGACAATGCGGCGACAATTCGAATCACTTTAAATCCGCACACACCCCAGAGTGCAAGGGAACAGTAGATGAAGAAACTATAAAAGAGACGCTAAAATAAGTTATATTAATTCCGACCCTCTTATTGTATCGTTTTCCACCTACATGAAGATCAAAATCAGCATTGGGAGGTAAGGTAAGGTGTCTGAAAATTATAATCTCATAAACTATCAAGGAAAACAAACATTTGATACAAAATCTTTTTAAACATACTCGTAATAAAGAGAGGATGCCTTGATTTGTGTTCCGATGGAAAAAACGTCGTTGGTACAATTGTCACCATAGAAAAACACTCCTTGCCCAGTGTCTTTGCAATATTTGGTGTCATACGTAGATGTGCAGTAATTGGCCAAAGTGGGATCTGAAGAAATGAAGCAAATTAGGTGATTATATCACATATAGATACAAGCACATGGTATAAGAAACCATTTAGTTCGGTTTTCCGGCACGATACTATAGATGCCGGATTTGAAGCAAGATTCCACATATGTTTCAAATTTATATATGAGCGCTGGTTTGGTTGCAACGCAAAGAGCACAGATATAAATACCACAACGACACCAACGCCTAAAGGCAGTGCACAGTGATATTATACCAAACTCGCAATGTTGTGTAGTGCTCGAATTGCATACCTTCGTAGGCCGGCCCATAAAACTGGCATGCTTTGATGATACCAGCTTGGCAATATTGTCCAACAAATATTTCCAGATGCAGGATAGGAGTTACCATCACTATCAGCATAAACAAGTAGATAATAATAAAGTACACTGAAGTAAGCAGAGGACACGTTTATGAGGAAATCAAAATTTGATCCAAGAAAGAAATTTGCAATAAAATCTAAAGAAAAAGTTCGTAGTAAAAGACTAACGGCCTCCAGAATCCAACACTATTTTGGGAAGTTCCCAAGTTGCAAATCCTGGATTTATAATGGAACAAAACAATAGAAAATCTATTAACTGACACCAGAGAGGATCTCCTATAATGGTATGGTAAACGAATTCTTCAGCGTTGCAGGATTGATTTCTAACATAAATGAGGAACGTCACCTTTCGCTTTGTTGATTTTTGTTGGAGGATTTTGCCAGCTGATCTGCTCGACATTCTATAAGAATTTCCAGTTACTCGTTTGTCGCAACTTTTGCCCCAGAATATAGTTTCTTGTCGACGTTAGTTTTCAAAATCCTGTTCTTACATCAATTACGATTTTCATTGGAGCAGGATAACTGCAGTGAAGGGAACCGAGGGAATAATCTTCTATTTGGTGTAAACGGTTGGGTTATCAAATTAGGCATTATCGCATCTTTACTATAACCAAGTGTTTGCTTTAATAGTTCGAAGCCAAGATTTTGGAAGATTTTCGTGATTCGCGCACATCGGTTGAATCTGGGTTTCCCTGGATGTGTCAATTGTTTATCCTCTCCTGTAGTCGTCGATTCGCGTATACGCGTCGGAAACCACCTGCATCATGTTCGCAAGCGGATGGCAAAGGCATTTTTCCAACTATCGATCATGGCGTCCGCATGAGACAATTCTTATTTTCGACATTGCTTTTTTCGTAGTTTTTAGTTCTCACTCTAACCGTACCATTTTATTTAGCAAAGTCAAACTATCATCCATAGTGAGATGAGAATACTGAAAAACTCTTTTATACACATTGCTCAGCAAAAGAACATTTTTTTCATGATTGCTAATGATAAATCAGGCAAGAGTCGCCACAGGAATGGGTTTGCTGATTAAATTTACGCAAAGCGTTTTCAAATACTTCAGTTTCAGAACGGACTGATAAGAGATGCACTGGAAAAGAAGTATTAACTTTACTATCTTCTACAAGTTATACAAGTGCTAAAGTACAAGCATAGTCAAAGCACAGACGTCAAAGGACTTACAAGGAGAGGATACTTAATGACTGTGGCCTTTTGAAATGAATCGTACATCATTAAGTTCCTCTTGAAGCCCTGATTCCAAACCTGCATTTGGTATCTGCTGCGCGCACTTTCGAAAGAAGTTATGAACATTTCTTGCCACCAAAATTTACTCTGTTTTGATGACAGGATTCACTGGTATCGTTAAAATGTGCAGTCACGCACCACATAAGAGAATCCAAATATAATAAAATGATTTACCTTAAGCTTAGGAAGACTGTCCCCGATATATCAGAGCCTAAAAAGCCGATACCGACAATTCTGACCGCCTAGATCTCGTAAAATCATATGGAACAAAGTTCATAACTTCGTTCAGAGAATAGCACAGCAGATAATGAACATAGATTTGGGATCAGCATTTTAAAGCCCATCTACAGGTATACAGTACAGTGTACATCTCACTGCAAAAGGCGCGGTCACCAAGTATTCTTCCCTTGTTAGGTTGGATGCAGAAGATTGTGAAAGGATAAAAGCAATTGAACGTGAAAAATGAAGAAAGTCAAGAAAATATCTATAAAAGGTGTGAAAAACGTCTATCACGGCTTCGTTTAGGGATCACGGGTTAGTAAAGTGCCCAAACCGTTAGGTCCCTAAGGCCTGGAACAGTGTTCACGCGCTTTCATCGCCGTGATTCTTCCAACAGACAAACAGTTATGGGTCCATTCCGATCATTTTGCATTTCGATTGTGACAGTTAGTCACAAATTGTTCGTGTTGGAGAACTATCACACCGAAATACAAGATGATCGCCATGCAACAAAATCTTAACAGTTCGTTTTGTTGGAAGAATCGCGGCGATGAAATCGCATCGCGTGAACTCTGCCCATGGCCTAACGGAGGCAACATCTTTGCATAATTATGCATAGGAACGGCGGAAAAGACTCCGTGTTGACACAGTCTCACATTATTCAGCCATGCGGAATGTTCGGAAAATTCGTGAGATAAGGCACAACTGATCGCTTAAATAAGAAACAGAAATTTGCCAATCTAAAAAGTCCACCATGGCTCAAACGAGTTGCCGGGATGTCATTTCGGTGGAAGATAAAACCTATTCCGCACTGCGCCACTACCCTCAGTGCCATCAATAGTGCTAAAACTTCAGAAGCTATGTGAAACTAATCTGTAATTTTTGCGTTGTGATGCAAAAAAGGCAGCGCTAATATGCAACGATGGTAAGCGAGGATCAAGGGTCAAGCGAACAATCCTGCGTGCGTCGCAAATCTTGTTGCTATAAAAGCGGATGTTATGTAGTGTACTTTATTGATAACCGAAATGAGCATAAAAGGTAATGGTTTGAGACGATTCTGCACAAACCAATGGTATTACAATGGCCTCAGTCGTCGCCCTTTTTTTGCTTGAGCAAGAGCTCAATATGTCGCTCGCATCAAGATCTTATACGAAAATGCCCTAACAGCACGCATTGTGCAAGTTGACCTACACGGCTTATCAAACGCAGTGTTGCTTGCATCAGCATCTCTACTCCCGCGCTGAAGCATAAACATTTGTAAGTTGGTCAAAGTATGCTGTAAACTCCTCCATTTGTGCCATTTATCAGCTTTCGTTAACTTTTACATTCTGAAACTTTACCGGTCCTTGAACTTCATCCTTGTTTTCTTTGGCTGGAGAATTTTCATTTTTCACGAGAGGGGCTGTCGGATTAGATCGTGCGATGTGTTTAAGACTCTCCACTTTATCTGGCTCCATAGACGTAGACTTCCCGTTAAGTCCAAACGGTGAACTCTTTTCATCATAGCCAATCTGTTTCTGCAAGAGTATGGATATGGCCTATCTGACAAACAACCGCTCATAGTTTTTACATTGATTGGCTTTTTAGTGCCACTTTTTGCTGCATCTTTTGCAAGATATCTGATAACGTTTGTTTTACCATATATAAAAACTTTTCCAAACTTGTTCTTTCTTCTACATTGATTTGAAAATAATCAGTCCCTATGTAGTGAATTCTTACAAAAAAATGTTGTCTTTTTTCTCAAGTCACATCTTGAAATGATTAGCCATTGATCCCAAGATATGCTTTGGATTGCGATTCAAATGCAGATCATATTGTCTGATTCTACTTATTTCAATTCATATTTGTTGCAGAATTTCAATGAACATTGAGACCTCTCTACTTTGTGTAAAGTGTTTCCGGCTCACCTTTTCATTAGCATCGGTATGCGGCAGTGTTTCATTGAGTTGAGTATCCGTTATGAGTGTATCCATCTTGTAGACTGAATTGTTAGCATGAAAGGCAACGACAGTGACGCTTCAAACAAGCCGACCTTCCTAGTTACAAAGCAGCACTGCTTAGAATGAGTACAGAGGCACAAATGCACCATGCGACTTTTGAGAGATGCGGTAAACACAATACTCCAATCTAAAACTAGTGATATCCAGAGATTATGCTAGCATGTCTGCAGCATAGAGGACTTGACTACATGAAGAAACAGCCGCAGAAAGTAAACTGGGATTGCTTTCTCAGCTACTCGAACATTAGCCGGTGACTGCAGTAAGACGAATATTGAGGTGAAAGAGCGGAATGCTTCGCCTCTACCATATTGGCTTCATAAGAAGATAGAAAAACAATTGTTGGAGAAGAAAGTAGTTAAGCCTGACCTTCAACTACGTGATGTCCTAAGGGGAAACTGGTTTCTCCAAAACTGGTCTCGAGCGCAAATCCAACAAAGGGATGATCAACCCCTTTGCGTCATTTTGGCTCTTCTAATCACAAAACATTAAGTGTAAATAAGGGCCGCGGGACCATAGATTTGCCATCTTTTCTTTAGACTTTTATCTATACGTAGAGTTGAGTACGCAGCTATGGGGAATTTTTCCCATGTTGAATGACTTGCACAGTTCGATTGACGAGTCATGTCCACAAGTTTACCGCACTGTTGTAAGATATCCTCTGCACTAGACGTAAGCGGTGGCATCTCACACCGCTCTTGTCAAAAATCTTGGTTTCAGCCCTTTTCTTCATAATTTTTTGCCCAACGTTACCTGTCTTCTCTTCTTTGTTATCTACTATTTACCTCCTGTACTATTTACCTCCTGTATTTACCTCCTCCTTATCTACTATTTACCTCCTGTGACTGTAAATTTATCCCGTTCGCTGTCTATCTATCTTTTGCAAGTCAGTATCCGGTCCAATTTCGGCTAATTGATTGGGTCACATGAGGGTCACCGAATCTCTTTAGACTCCCCCCGCCCCGCGTTTGGCAAAATGACATTGACCGTCATAGGTTAGACGATGTCTCGATGGGACTGAGACATGATGTTGAGTTTGCTTTATTGCCTGCCGCTGACCACACCGGAGCAATTGTGGTAAAGAATAAAGAATCCGTCTTTGCAAAATGGTATTAGCTTTGATAGAAAAGATTCCACAGGTTGTGGAATCAGAGAAAAGGGGTCGTAGCACTGTTATGGCAGGTTTATCAAAAGCTTCGCCTACCCTATCCTTATGGAGAGGAAAGCCGAGAGGGGCGCGGTGTGGTAAATGTACTGGATCAATCACAGATCGACTGCTGGCTTGCCGACTGAAATCCAGGATGGGTCGAATGAGGGAGGAGCGACAAAGCCTAATAAAACTCGTGTTTCCCATGTTTTCGCGTGCTTACTGATGCAGGCATTAGCTACTGCTCATAAACTTCGGCATTCCAATCTGCTCACTATGTACGTGCTGCGAAGCATGACCTCTGCCACACAGAGTCTTACCTGTGCTTGACGTAAGCCCGAAACTGCATAAAAAGAGCCCGAGCGACTGCTGAAAGTTCGGCCAGCTTTGCTGAAAGAGTTATTTGACGAGCGCTTGCAGAAAATTCTGTGTTGCTGCCCGCTGGCAGAACTTTAGACAGTAGAGGAAGTACCGCTTGCTGAAGGTTTGGCCACGCCCCAAAATTCTGCTGACCGCTTGCAAAAAGCGCGAGTTTGCGGACCGCCTGCCCCCGGCGATTATCTGAGTATTCATCAATCTACCTTGAAGCTAGATTCTACCTCAATCGTCATTTCTTCGACTTTTCATTATGCATTAAGGTCGATTTTAACTATAGGATAGCTAGAGTTAAAATCGCCCTAAGGCGTAAGTTTCCACACTTCCCGATCCTCATTCTTGCTTTAGGTCGAACATTATAACCTCGTACTTGCGCGTTGCTGTGTCTGAATAGGGTGGGGGAGGCAATTTTGCATGCACTGAAATCCCAAAACCCCCACCTTGTCCGGACACTGTCTTTGATAACTTCAATTCCAAAAAGTCCCACTTGCAATACCCATCCAGCTTTTAGGATCCTTTGAAGATTTGATGAGAGAAAGCTAGGAAAGTGGTACACAGAAATCTTATAACATTCTCAGAACCATGAATTTGGATTAGTTAAAAGGCCAACCATTGCCTTAGTTCCTAATTCACTTTTTGACTGGATTATTGATCTTAATCAAGACTAATCTATCCTACTATAATAACGCGCTAAGGCCGTCTGTTTTTTTTGTGTGTGTGTCTGTCTGTAAATCAAATTTTGCATATTACATCCTAGCAGCAGGAAAGTCCATTGTGCAAAAGCACAAGCGGATCCGATAAGTGGATCCCCTAGAAATTGCGCCTGAAACGGGTCCACTTAACTTCTGGTCAGCAAAATTGGGTCCGTATATAAACTTTTTGCAAAGTCGTGGATATGTTTGACAAGCTAATGTACAAGTCATGGACTTTAGCCCAAAAAATTCGACTAAAGTTGGTTACTTTACGAAGATGGCGCCAAACTCAATGTCTGTGAGGATGTTCGTTTAATTGTTCTTCGTTATAGAAACGCCAGTCATTACACCGATTGAGCTAAAACTTCGCACACATATGCTTTCGACCCCTGCGGTGGTTTATGACAACTCTTTGCGGCAATTCGCAGGGTCATTCTATTGATTTAATGATTTGTTTACCTAAATCTGGGAAAATGAGAGTTTGACGTGCTCTAACCAATCATTTTCCAGTAAACATGTGGGCAGGGTTAGTAAAGTTCATTCTAATCTCAAGGTCGACAGGATGCAGCGGGTTCATCTTAAAGCGCTCTTCGCGCATTATAGAAGTTAGAGAGTGGAAGTATGATCGGCTTCCAGATTCCTATGGAGGCGAGCTGCGGATTTCACTCTACGAAATACAGTGCTATAACGCGGAAGTTTAACGAGTTTATGTCGAAAATCAGGGAAGTGCGCAAATGGCCTCTACACGAATCTGGGAGCCGTTGATATTTTGGTAGGTAAGGAAACGAACTCCGCCAGTTTGAGCCCGCCTTTGCTGGCAACCGGTCCTTTCGAAATATTGCGGTTGTGGTTGCAGGACCAGTAGTCCGCGGAGATGTTCCAAAATGGCGGAGTTCGTTCTTCTACCCCATTTTGGTTAAACTAAGAGTCTCGGGTGAGACCGGGACCATCAGCTAGTTGATTAATATTGTTCATTTTGATTTATCTATAGCCCTTGGTAAAGTCACCACTGCAAACTCTTTCTCTGAGCTTGAAAAAAGGGCTATAGATAAATCAAAATGAACAATATTAATAAATTAGTCTTGATTAAGATCAATAATTGGAGTACGTGGTAGGCTACTGGCATGGATTCTTATATCTCACTGAACGAAGAACGACTATACGATCTGGGAATGATTGTTCGGACGAGTTAGTAGTGGTGTTCCCCAGGATGGAGTTCCTTCACGGATACGGGTCGAAAGTTACGAGTCGAATCCCCCTGCTGTGGCGCCGTGCCACTTCAGAACCGGAGAGTTTTTGTGAAGAGAAGCTGACCCGGAGCCGCTCCTTCGCCGCTTTCTTTTCCAATCGATACAGCTGGGGCGGTATGCAACAATCGCCCGTCCGGGTAAGTTACCCGGACAGGTAGTTTCCGCTTCATAACTCGGTGCTCTGGGAATCTGCATTCTTCCTTGTTTGTTCATCTATTGGAGGCTCTAATACCCTAAAATTGTAGCACAATGACTAGCAGCACTTTGTTATATAAGCTGAGATGATTCGTTATTTGTATGCTCCAGAACGGGATCTCCCACTGATCACGCTTATTTTCAAAGTTATTTATATCCGCAAAAAAATCAATGAAAACGTCACAGGGTTTTGCTGTCCATTTATTACGACAGTGTTACAGTCTGCTCCAATTGGGATCAGGCCGAACCGTCGGCGTAGATTTGCGCGCTCGCAGCGCCAAGCGTTCACTGCATATGCGCGCTGTAGGAGAGAGCAAAAGGATTGGAGAGAGAGAGTAGAGAAGCAGGCCATGGGCGTGATCGCAGAACCTTAGCCACGCGGACTCCCGCCATGCCAATTTTGGCCTGGTTAGGATTGGGGCAGACTGTACGCATGTTTGTGGAAGAAATAAGTGAAAAATAGAATTGACAAAATATTCGCTGAACCTGTGCTCGCGAATTGGGCTGTATCGAAAAACGCAAAACTTGCAGATTTCATCTGTGCTACCAAAAACATGCGTAACAGCTTCGTGATAGATCGACAGCAAAACTCTGTGACATCTTCATTGAGTTGCGCATATAAATAACTTTGAAAATGAGCGTGATCATTGGCGATCCCGTTCGGGATCATACAAATAACGAATTATCACAGCTTATACAGCAAAGTGCTACTAGTCATTATGCTACAATATTAGGGTAGTAGAGCCTCCAATAGATGAACAAACAAGGAAGAACACAGATTCCCAAAGCACCGAGCTATGAAGAAACTATCTGTCCGGGTAACTTACCCGGACGGGCGATTGTTACATACCGCCCCTGATCTACCAGCCTCATAAACACACACAATACTCGCATACACTTTTGCAGATGACTGAAAAATTTACTTTGCGTATGTCAAGAACACACAAAATGAAGCACGGAACAAGCCCGGCACTCCGCTTTTAGGCTTTTTGAAAACGAAATTCTCCCCGACTTCCGCTAAATTTTACGAAGTGCCCTTTGACCCAAATTTTACGAAGTCCCCTTTGACCCAAAATCGGGAACTTCGACTAAAAAACATGGTGTTTTTTCGGACCCACAGAACGATATCCCCTTTGCTTTTTCGCCCCGAAAACGAAGTCTAGCCGGCTTATAGACAATCGTGCCCGCCCTTGCCTAGAAAGACCTCTCTTAATCAATCGAGAAAGCTATTTCAAGGTGGAAGAAATGCAGTTTATCTCTGAAGTGCGTCACCTCCGCTTCGCTGAGGTTCGCACTGGCTCCCTATCCGTATGCCTTTCTCAAGTTCGCATAAAAATGGCTTTGAAACTCACTACGCGATGCTGCGCATCACAAATTAATCGTATACAACTGTTCATTCATAAAGCATCTCCATGTAAAATCGGTAATTTTTAGGAAAGAAAACTTTGTTGCAAGGAAACAAATGCGAATTTGAAAGGATTACTGGATTTATTCTAGTTTGATGATCGTCATAAGTATAGCAGTCACCTAGGGCTACATTTTGGTGCAAAAATCTTTTCATTTTTTTCAAATAAAACCTTGCCAAAGCGACTATCTGCGCTCATCAATTTTTGGCGCTACTCGCAGAAAAGCAAACTTTTTGAGCACTTTTTGGGCTAGAATTCATGGCGCGCAGAGTTACTTGTCAGGCAAATCATAACTTCGCAAAAAGTCGAATTAGCTACCCAGTTTTGCGTGCCAAAAGGCGCGTGGACCCGTTTGACGCGCAAATTATGAGGGACCCGCTTATCGAACCGATTAGCATTATAGAATAAAATGTCTTTTCACTGTAGAATTGCGTTATGAACTTTTGAAGAAGGTTTTTAGCCACTGAGGATCATATCATGCTTCAGAAAGAAAATCTAACAAGCTAAACTTTCATAATAGACTAACCAGATTTGAGCTTCAACTCCGATTAGCATTACAGAATGAAATGTCTTTTCACTGAGAATTGCGTTATGAACTTTTGAAGAAGGTTTTTAGCCACTGAGGATCATATCATGCTTCAGAAAGAAAATCTAACAAGCTAAACTTTTATAATAGACTAACCAGATCGGCTGTCTCTTTCAATGAAATATGCACTTCTCATCAGAATCCTTGTCCTCGTCCTTGTGCATGGTGGGCCTACACGCTGGCACGGTATGCTATGCAAAATTGCAGCCCGATAGCTTCGTTGCAGCTTCCTCTACAAATTTCATGACAGACAGATTTTCACACAGACACACAGACAGACATACAAAAAAACAGACGGCCTTAGCGCGTTATTATAGTAGGATATTATAGTACGACCTTCCAGAAAGATCTGCACAACACTCGGGCAATGCTCACAAAAGGCCGTATTACTGCGGAAATGCTGTTCTTGAGCGTTGGAACGTGTACTTCAGAAGTTATCATCTATATGTAAATAGAACTCAATCTCTGTAAATTTGTTCGTATGTAAGTATGTGGCTTATAGACTCCTTTGTTTGTGAACCGATGAGGCTGAAATTTGCTCCCCTATGAATGAGGCCAGGCGCAGAAGATAGGCTACTTTTTGTGACGATTCATTGGGTTCTTCTGTCGATTTATCAATTTGTTTACTAACATTGAGGCAAATGAATGCTTTATCATTCATTTATCCAAGTTAAGTAAAGGGGCGGTAGAGATTATTTACATTTTGTGTTGAGGAGGATGCGGTGTCACGAAGCGAGCAGTTTGTTAGGCTGACGTACGTTGACGTAGCCTTAGGCGTATTGTCGCCTTTGTGGAGGTATCTGTTGTTGTGCACAGTACACTAGCCCAACAGATTTATTGAGTCAGACGACTTGTCCGCATTGGGATAGTGGTAGAATGCTAATGATAACAGGCGGAGCAAAGTTACTCGACAACATCTGGGCAATAAAGTTACCTATATCACAGCAGGTCATGCTTATGCATGACCTTAACGGTTCTCTGGCAAGACACAATGGGGCTACAAAGAGAGGTGCCGATCTCCGCCCGGCAAGAGGGATGAACAAATGAATTAAAAAGTGATAGCAAAAATATGATGCAACAACATTTGTCCATAAAGCGGTGCTTTTGTCTGGATCTCGTAATGGTCGTCGTTGCACCTGAACGCGATTGAACACAGGAATCGTTCCTGTGGAGCGGCTTCCAAAAGGTGAAGTAGATAGGTCTAAACTATAGTGCAGGCCAATGGAAAGTGTTATTAAACTGATCTTTACTGGCACTGGTACTGGATGAAGCTCATAGATTTCTCTCTTCTCATTGTCCTTATATGATAGTAACTTCTGAAGATGGCGCTCCTCGCTCATGTCATTGCATGCCTTTGCCAGAGGCAATCCTGGTAGTGTGACCTGTGCGAAGGTCAGACTCTCATCTGCAACAGCTGGTAGTACATCAGTGTCTTCAGCCTCGAACTCGCGATATCCATCATTTTCACTATTCTTCTCGTCATTGTTATGTTCGTCTGGCTTATCGTTTGCGATGTGACTTGCTTTTTCTTCAGCGTATGGAAATCCGGCACGCAGTATGTGTCTATGTAGAATCTTCCTTATGCTTCTCTGATTTTTTGTTGCAAGTCTTCCTATTGCGGCCAGTTCTATCTCAATATCTGTAGCGAGCATTTCTAGCTCAAACATAAACATTTGAGCATTGCCGGATGTTCGAAAAAATCTTATCTGTTCATGGAGCGCGTCCATTTCTTTTGTTATGGCTTGTCTCATCATTTCGTTGCTTTCCTTATAGTGCTTCCTCATGACATCAATTTTTAATTCCAGGTGGCTTTTGCTGGTTTTGACTTCCATGATGCATATTGGTATTAGGTCCAGATGGTATAGGCAGAACTCCTGTCGTTCTTGTTCGTCATCTGGAAGAGTAATTTTCTCACCATAGTGCTGGTATTTCTGCAGTATGTCCGCGAGATTCTTGGTGTACGTCTTCAGGTCCTTTATAATGAGTTGAAGAGTCGCATCACTTTCTTGTGGCTTCTGCTGTCCTCCTTGGAAGCGGGGCATGATATCGGTCGTGTTTGGCCGATGCACCAAATATATCGGTGGTTCGTAGGCCTTATTGAGGCCTGAGGCGATATAGCGCCTAATTGGGAGTATTTGACTCCTGTGTTATACAGAACACATGTGTAGTAGATTTATGAACAGACGACGTGCACGTATGAGTGCACAGTTCAAGAAGGACAAATTCACCACGGATACTACACGTGTGCTGGAACTGACTTGGAGCTGAAGCAGGAGTGGAAGTGAAAATATGATCTGAAGGAAGTGGAGTAATGGTAAGCAAACATCTTGAAGCAGACGGGCCATTTTGGACCCTTGGCCCGGGCGGGACCGGGGACCGCAGCTAGTAACTTATAATAACGGGCTAAGGCCCCGGACAGACTTCACGCGATTTGATCGTCGCGACTGAATCGCGACGAGACAACTGTTACAACATCATTCCATGCCGATCAACTTGCATTTCGGTTGTGATAGTTTTCCAGCCCGAAATTTTTGAATGTGAAATGAAAATGAATGGAAATGTCGGCGATTGAGTCGCGACGATCAAATCGCGTGAAGTCTGTCCGGAGCCTAAGGGTTGTTTACGTGTGTGTGTTGTGTGTGTAGTATCTCTGTCTGTCACGAAATTCGTAAAGCGAGTTCCAGCAAAGGTCTTGAGCCAGGATTTTGGTAGTAGCTCCCTATCAGCATGTAGGTAAAATGTGCAAAAGCACAAGCCGATCCGATAATTGGAACCTGTGAAATTGTGCGCCAAACGGATCCACGCGACATTTCGCGCGCCAAAGTGGGCCTGTAATTGGACTTCTTTTGAAGTCATGGTTTCGTTTAGCAAGTAAATCCGCAAACCATGGATCCTAGCCGGAAAAGTGAGCAAAAAGTTTACTTTCGCGCAAGATCGGCGCCAAAAAGGAATAATTGTGTAGATGATCGATTTGTCAAGATTTTACCTGGGATTGCGGGACAATTTTTGCTCAGAGATGTAACTCATGGTTGCCATCATTTTTATGGCGAGTATCAAGTCATTATAACCCCAGTAACTGTTTCAAAATCGCATTTGATCTTTTGGAGAATACTTTCCTTCCCTTAAAGTCACCGATCTTACATGAAAAAGCTTTTGGAATGAGTAGTTGTTTACATTTTATTCGTGACTAGTTGGCTTTCCCGGTCCAGCCCGGGCCATTTTCATCTGCACTGCAAGCTCCCCCTCTCCCCCCTCTTATATTGGATGACTTACCCCGGGACATCCGCTTCGATACCGCATCCTAGCGATCCCGAGGTAAAAATGAGCTTCACCGCCCTCCTTCACATGAAATGGGAAAATGCTCGATTAAGCATGATAAGCTTTCAATTCCTTAAAAAAACGTAAACAAATCAATAAATCGATAGAAGGACCCCTTGAATCGCCGCGAAAAGTAGCCTATCATCTGCGCAGGGTCGAAAACATAAGTGTGCAAAGTTTCAGATGAATCGGTTGAGCGGCGCGAGTTTCTATAACGCACATACCCTCCAAACTGACAATTTTTGAGTTATATACAGGGTGTCCCAAAAAAATGTTAACACTGTTTGATCGTTAATAACTCCCTTGCTTTCAAGTCTTTCGCCGAGGTTTAGGTACCATTCTGTAGAGCGAGGATAAACTTAGATTTACAGCATCGAGCGGATCATCTAACGCTCTTCGTTACTGTAGAATTACGGTAGGAAATTCCAGCATGTGAAACCGTCATGAAATATGCCCTCTGACAAAATTTTTTTCAAAAGATCTGAAAAATCGTGTACTAGGGTTTTCGCGCATGCTGATTTTACTACACAACTTTTTTGCAACTGTTTTCAGCTTTTTTGACGGTGTAATCACATTTTTGACACATGCTGGGAAGTCAGTTATTACACTTTACCTAGGATAACTTCGAAAAAAAAGCATCATAACGAAACGAAAGTCTCATATCCGAAATCAGCGGCTTTCATTACCATAGTACAAGAGATTTTGGCTTGTTTGGCTCTGTTCCAAAGCAGAAAATGGGCTTTAATGGCTTAAAATCCTTTTCAAATTTCCTACCGTAATTCTACAGTAACGAGGAGAGTTAAATGATTCGCTCGATACTGTAAATCTAAGTTTATCCTCGCCCTACAAAATGGTACCTGAAGCACGGCGAAAGACTTGAAAGCAAGGAAGTTATTAACGATCAAACAATGTTAACATTTTTTTGGGACACCCTGTATATATATATACCAGTGCGTCACCTCTGCTTCGCAGAGGCTCGCACTGGCCCTATGCTCTGTATGCCTTACTCATTCCCGCATAATAATGACATTGAAACTCACCGCGCTATGTAGGCTATCACGAATAATTTGTAAACAACTACTCATTCGTAGAGGTCTTCCATGTGAGATCGGTATTTTCGCGTGGATAAAATCTTTCCCAGAAGAACAGATGCAAATTCGAATGGGCTTTTGGAATTTTTATGGCTTGGTAGTCGCCGTAAGGACAATAGACTTAGTGGGCTACACCTCTGTGCAAAATTCTTCTCAAATAATCAGGTAAAATCTTGAAAATTTGACCGTTTACACAGTGAATGCTTTTTGGCGCTGTTTTTGTAAAGTAGTAGACTTTTCATTACTTTTTTAGGCTAACGTCCATGGCTTGCACATTAGCTTGTCAAATAAATCCTTAACTCTGCAAAAAGTAGTACTACGGACCCAAATTTGCTGGCCAGAGGCCAAGTGGATCCGTTTGACGCGCAATTTTCAATGGATCCACTCAACGGATCCGCTCATGCTTTTGTATAGTGAGGTTTCATGCTGGTAGCGTGCGCTGTGCAAAATTTGGGCTCAGGACGTTGGCTGGAACACGCTCTACGAATTTCGTGACAGACAGAGATTCACACACACACACACACACAGACAAACGTAAACAACCCTTAGCCCGTTATTATAAGTTATGATATATACAGGGTGTCCCAAAAAAATGTATCGAACGTTTGATCGTTAATATCTCTCTTCCCAAGAAGTCTTTTGTCTTGCTTGTTGTGGCTTGTTTAGCTGTACACCGGGATTGGTAGATCCTTTATTTTTATCTTTTGTCTTGCTTCAGGTACCGTTTTGTAGAGCTGGCTTCAACTTAGATTTGCATTATAAAACGAATCACCCATCTCTCTTCATTACTGTAGGATTACGGTAGAAACTTGAAACATATGGTGTCAATGTGGAAAAAGCTGCCGTTTCAAAATTTTTCAAAAAATTGTAAAAACTTGTGTAATAGGGTTTTTATAGACGCTGAGTTCAATACTCAACTATTCACAAGATTACGAAGCTTTCTAAATGGTTTAATCGCACTTTTTAAAAACATTGAAAAAGTGGCCGCTACCTCTTACCTGGCATAACTCTTCAATGAAGCATCATAACAAGTTGGCAACTTTACAGTCATAATCAGCAACTCTAATTAGCCTAGTGTAAAAGTTTTCAGGCTGTTTTGTTTCTTTTCTGAGGCAAGATGTGGCCTTTCACTGCTTAAAACCCTTTTTGAAGTTTCTACCGTAATCCTACAGTAATGAAGAGAGATGAGTGATTCGTTCTACAATACAAATCTAAGTTGAAGCCAGCTCTACAGGTTGGTACCTGAAGCAAGGGAAAAGACTTCTTTAGAAGAGAGATATTAACGATCAAAAATTCGATACATTTTTTTGGGACACCCTGTATATATACAGGGTGTCCCAAAAAAATGTATCGAACGTTTGATCGTTAATATCTCTCTTCCCAAGAAGTCTTTTGCCTTGCTTCTAGTATCGTTTTGTAGAGCTGACTTCAACTCAGATTTGCATCATAGAATGAATCACTCATCTCTCTTCATTACTGTAGGATTACGGTAGAAACATGAAACATATTGTGTCAATGTGGAAAAAGCTGCCGTTTCAAAGTTTTTCAAAAAAATGTGAAAACTTGTGTAATAGGGTTTTTATGGACGCTGAGTTTAATACTCAACTAATCGCAAGATTACGAAGCCTTCTAAACGGTGTAATTGCACTTTTTAGGAACATTGAAAAAATGGCCGCTACCTCTTACCCGGCATAACTCTTCAATTAAACATCATAATAAGTTGGGAACTTCACAGTTATAATCAGCAACTCAAATTAGCCTAGGTAAAAGTTTTGAGGCTGTTTTGTTTCCTTTCCGAGGCAAAATATGGGCTTTCATTGCTTAAAACCCTCTTTGAAGTTTCTGCCGTGATCCTACAGTAAAGAAGAGAGATGAGTGATTCGTTCCATAATGCAAATCTAAGTTGAAGCCAGCTCTACAGATTGGTACCTGAAGCAAGAAAAAAGACTTCCTGGGAAGAGAGATATTAACGATCAAACGTTCGATACATTTTTTTGGGACACCCTGTATATATCAGTGGCGTACCCAGAATTTTGGCTCGGGGGGGGGGGGGGCGCGGCAAAATTTTTTTTCAAATGATGGTGCGTGGCGTTAGCCACGCACTCCGAAAATTTTTTAGGGGGCTTCTTAAAATTTCTGCGGGCCCCCAACCTCTAAAATCTGGAAAAAGGGGGCGTGGCGTCAGCCACGTCCCGAAAAAAAATTTTTTATAAGGCTAATTTGAATTTTTAAAAATTTTTAAAAATTATTTTAATGGTTTACAAAATTAAACAAGTCACTTGCACATATTTACAACTCATGTAAGTAACTTTCAAAAATTTCGCGACCCGTTCTCGGGGGGGGGGCGCGCCCCCCCCCCTCAAAAATTTCGCGACCCGTTCTCCGGGGGGGGGGGGCGCGCCCCCCCCCCCCGCCCTCCCCCCCTCGGTACGGCACTGATATATATATATAGATGATCGGCATCGCGGGGTAAGTAAAGCGATCATTTTGCGACTACGAGGTTGGTATGTAGATAGTACAGCCAGTGCGAGCCTCTGCGAAGCAGAGGTGACGCACTGGTGTTCAATAATTCACTTGAGTTTACCAGCCATCATGATTCAGTCGTCAGTAAATCATTGGCACCGTTGTTCAATTTTGAGAAATGTGCACAGCAACGATCCTGCTTCATTGGTGCGATTGTATAAAACCTATGTTTTACCTCATCTCGACTACGCTTCATCCGTTTGGAGTCCATTTTCAAAAAAAAAGCGGTGAAAATCGAGAAAATACAAAAAGATTCATCCGTCGACTCGTTTGGACTTTGCACCTCTCTCCCGAACTTGCTCAATCAATTTCCGCGTTACAGGCAGTGTCTCACCAAAGTTTAGTTGCCGGGTTTTTGCATTTTACAAGCCTTTCGGACTTTGTCGAACCCTGCTGAGGTTCAATATCACATAATATCTACCACTCTCTGAAGGCCTCGTGGAAGCAACATGGACGAGTTGTGCCTCCTTCTCATCCTCATCTCCGCCACAGTGATGGAGGCGATTCCCATGCGTATGGCGAGCGTGGCCCTACAGACATTAAAACTTATTAAACCTCTATTTTAAGGCATTAGTTTTTGTACTCTCTGGGAATGTACTCTAGCTGTTGGCGAGGCAACATCACGAGACAACACATTGAAAGTCCTGCGGAAGTTATGGCAGGCCAAACTGCTGCGGAACCTCTGGCATTTTTCGGAATTTCAGCAGGATTTTGAAGAAGGTTCTGCGGAAGCTTCGGTTTTCAACCAGTTTGGCACGAAAATCCCGCGGATTTCCGATTTGCCACGTTTTCATTTTTGCAATAGTGAAACACTGCGGAACTTCTGCAAATTTGGCTTGTCCTGCGGAAGTGCCGGTGATTTGTCTGAGTGCCACGCGGATACGTTGGCGAACGTCGGAAAAGCTCCGCTCGCTATACTTTGGGGAACAGACGATAGCAAACGAGAAGATAGGCGCTGAGCGGAAGGACGTGTTGAAATACGTCTGAGAAGGGTTCGGAAAAGTTGCCTGTGCAGACCAAATCGCTCCCTGCGAGCCACTTTGAGCGCATTTTTCGCAGCGTAGAGGGAACAAATCGAAATTATACCCGTTGAATTGGCCTATTTGGAGGGCCCTTTAGTAGAATATGTGGAAGCCGAGCAACCTCAGTTTTGGTGAGACACTGCCTTTGAAGGCGCCGTCCACGCGAATTGACGGTGGTGCGACTTTGACGCAGTGCAAGAGCACAGCTCCTGATAACCGCTTATTCAAGTCCGATCGAAAAAGGTGCATTCTGAAGCGAGAAGAACGCTTCGGACAAGACTGAAATACGTCCCGGTGGTCCGACCACGCTCCAGTCGGTGTGGAACCCTCCCATCCATGCTAGCCCATTCAATAGCCTTTCCGAAGAACCCGCGGGGCAGGTTCTCCGGGACGGGGACTGTCGGGGTTTTCGACTTCATATACGGTAAGGACATGAGAAGGCCCCGGAACGACAAAAACATGGAAGTCGACAATCTGGGTGGACAGCGCCTTTGATTAGCGATTTGAAGCCCGGCCTTTACTACGATCATGATGGAATAGTGACCAGAAAAAATGGCGAAAGGGATGCAGAACCCAAGCGAGGCGGTCGTGCGGCTCGGGCCCCGCGACCGCCTCGCTTGGGTTCCGCACCTCGTTAGCGAGCATTTCTTCTACACCATTCCTAGTGATACAGTTAGCGTAAAGCGGGGGGTGCGGCACGCCGCACCGGGGGTCGTATTGAGGAGTCAAAAGGGGGGGGGTCGTAGTAGGGTAATCCGATAATAGCGTTTACATGATATTCGTATCATATCCATAATTAGCATGTCAATTAACCCCTGTAGGCAAAGTGTGAGCGAATTCCGAAGATTCAAGATACTAGACTACCTAAGTGAAGTGGTCAAATTCCAGCATGCTTAACTTTGTTTCAGAAAAGTTGAATTAGCTATCCGTTTCTGCACTCAAAACAAAGCACTACTCCTTCTTTGTCCACCTCAGGAATCCCGCTTCAGAAGACCTCCGAACTGTGGAATTAGAAGTCGACCAAAATTCGTTTTTCCCATTTTTCGCTTTTGATCGCTATACTTTCATCAAATATTACTCAGAGCTAAGAAGACGAATCAAGCTCAAAACATCCCTATGGAATTTATGAGGTTTAGGCTATCGATTCATATAAATATTGTCCGCTAAAAATGTTCTTTTGATGTAGTTAATGGCCTGCGGCACCCCCCCCCCCCCTAAAAAACCTGCGGCTGCCGCAGGCTTTGAGGGGGGGGGGGGGGTGCCGCAGGCCATTAACTTGCCTTCAAAATTCAGAAATCAGTCCATTTCTGGTATGAGTAAACAGCTCATAGCCTCTTCTTGCCGCAGTGAAAATTTGGGGCAAAACACTCCACCCCTGGGGAAATCCTGGCTCGTAGAATAAGGCCATTCACATCTAAATCCGCCGTCAAATTGCGTGTACTTGTAAGTGCGATCACAGAAAATTGATCCACAGCCTCTTAAAATTCAGAAACTTGGCAGGATGGGCTCGTCTTTTGCAGAATATCATACTCTGAGGTTCCGGAGATGGACAGGCTTGAGAGGGGGTCGTTTGGGGGCTTTCCGGGGCGGGGGGAGGTCGTCTCCGTACGACTTGTGCCTGACCTCTTGCTCAACTCTGTTCAAGGGCCGCATGCACTAACATCCCCGCGGGGAGGGGATCGCAGTTTAAAAGAAAGCTTTATATTTCGAAACTCCAGATACCTGGATTTCACGTTGTGTACCTATCCGTAAGTATTCCTACTACCCTTCACTATGAACATGTTGAAGAAGAGCGAGAAGCTGTACGAACCGCATTTTCCAGCTTTTGTATTGATCCCTGATGATCCCCGGCGCTTTTCTTTGAAGTCATTTTTCTTTCTTCGAAGTTAACGAATAACCTCCAAAGTTGTGCAGATTATCTAACCCGACAGTGCTAAGCATTTTGGTAATAAGAACAAATGATGTTTTGAAGTCATGAAATTTTCGATGATCCACAGGTCGAAATTTGAGGTTTACCGAAAAATTCGACTTTTCAAAAACTCATTTGTTCTCATCAGCAACATGCTTAGCACTGTTGTGTTAGATGTTCAGTACAACCTTGGAAGGTTTTCGTTAACTTCGGAGAAAGAAAAATGACTTTAAAGAAAAGCGCCGGGGGATCATAGGGATCATACAAAAGCTGGAAAATGCGGTTCGTACAGCTTCTCGCTCCTCTTCAACATGTACATAGTGAAGGGTAGTAGGAATAACGGATAGGTACACAATGTGAAATCCAGGTATCTGGAGTTTTGAAATATAAAGCTTTCTTTTAAGCTGCGATCCCCTCCCCAGCGGGGAGGTTAGTGCATGCGGCCCCAAGAGCTCTCAAAGTTGGGACTCTGGGGGGAAGGGGGAGGGGGGGGGGGGAGGATAGGGAATGGGGGGGGTCTTGCCGGGGCCCGGCCCAGGAGGGGGGGGGGTCTTATCCGACGGTCGCATGCCGCACCCCCCGCTTTACCCTGGATACAGTCGGTGGCTCAAGTAAAACCTACTACACTTCTATGCCTTTACTGCCAAACAAGAGAGCGTTTACAGCACCTAGGGGATTGGACGGTAAGCTTGCATGTAGTGAGCCAATGCCTTCCAAGTTAAGGCTTTGCAGCGATGTTTTTGGTGTCTTTTGCAAACCTTCATTGACTTTTCATTATCAGTAGTGTCCACTGTTATCACTTTCCCGTTTTAGTGTTTTGATCAGTTGTTGATTGTGCGTTATCTGGATGTCAATTGCAAGCCTCTCTAGGATTCGGCCATACTTTGTCGTTCTTAGTGGCTGTTACGTTGTTACCCATTCTCCGATGTTACGGTTGTTAACAATGTTTTTAGGTAAAAAACCTGAAATTGTCGGCCGGTGGACCGTCGGGAAAAAGACGAAGTGGTCCTCTACGGTCGAGTAGATCTGTCGTCGAATATTACTGGACTTGCGGTGCCTAGATTTTGCAGCGAAATTTGCGCGTTAAAAATAGCGTTGCGATGCCTGCATTTTACACGTGCAAGTCGCCGGCATCACAAGTTCAAGCGCAAATTCCTCATAAAAGCACTATATCCACCGACAAATCTACTCAATTGTATTATTATTTACGAGCAATCGAATCATCAATTGTTCTATTATGCAGCTGCTCATGAAGGAAATTGTGGCAATTTCCCACGAGTTTCTGCATCCATACGTTCTTTGTATCATTTACTTTTTTTCAGAATGTTGCCTGACGCTGAAACTTCATTCATATCATGGTTGTCTTGGATGATGATCCTCGGCGGGGTACTGACGATGGTTGCATTGATGCTAGGAATGCGAGCCGTTTATGGGAGGTATGCAGCTAAATCAGCAGTGAGTTTCATCTTCACAATCTGCAGAAATATGGTTTTTCAAATTTTGAACAAGCATTTGGTACCTCATAAGTTCTTTCACAAAATAATCGAGATTTTACTATGAAAGTCAAATACAAAAAAGAGTGGTTTAGTGTAATTCCTTCGCATGAGACTGTGCTAAAAAAGATCGATGAACGTCTTGTGTGATCTCACAACCACTTACTCTTATACAGTCAGTGTGTCAACGATGGCTCCCTTTCGATACCAGCTTACAGGCCACGGCTTGAGCGCATCGATTGGAGATGCTCACGCGCTGCGTATGCGTAGTTGCTACGAGAAAGGAAGCACATGGTTGACACAGACTGTACCCTTGCTAATGAACATTTGAAATGTTAACCCCATGTGGCAAAATTTTCTAGTTAGTTTGTTTGTCTATTTTTAGCTCGTGATTCCTGCTCGTTTAGCATGGGCTGTGCAGGAATTCCCGTCCTTCGCCATACCTGCCTATTACGCATGTGAATGTCAGAGCATTGCCGGTGCTATCATTTTGGCATTGTTTATCATTCACTACTTCAACAGGTTCGCTAGTCTACGATGTTTCCAATTCATTGGGTTCAGCTTTCTACATATAGGACATTTATATACCCACTGCATTTGAACTCAGCCAATGCCACACCTTGGTATATATGCCTGTCAGCTGCTGCATTCTGTTCTGTTAACGGATATATGCAAGTAAGTTGTTTGAGGATAGTTTTGTGTCTTCTTATACAACGGAAATAGTCTGCTTATGTCTTTTTTCGTCATAAGATAGTGGATAGATGGACGCTTTGGCGCAATTCCACAGTATTTGGCCCAAAAAAATGAAAGTCGGGGACTTCGCTGAAATTTCGTTTAGAGCGGTTATCTTGGCTGATTACGATATCACACCTATTTTCCACGGTACTGCCATCTGGTGGAGTTACGGTAGGATTATAGTAGGGGTCAAAACCACGGAATTACCCCATAATTCCTCTAGGGGGTTATTCGGCAAGCTGTACGTCAATACCATTTTCTTGGCGCCATTTTTTCGGGTTACGGTGGGCATACTGTAGGTGACTAGGAGTTCCGAATTCGCTCAAAATTTTGCCTGACGGAGTTCTTAAGCATGCTGACTGCAAATATCGTGTTCGTTCGCTACGCGATGCCTTATTGTTAGTGTTAGGATGAGCAGCCAAATTTAGACCCAAAAATCCACGAAAAGGCTTTTTTGTATAAGACGAGTGCGATATACGTGATCAGCACGTCAGATAACAAATCTGCACAAAAGTTTGAGCAGTCTATTACTTTAGCCACCTAACTATCGTAATTCCGCGAAAGAGTTCCAATACGCAGAAAGAGCATGCGTATTCGTAATCGTTCTATTCGTAATCAGCGTGCTTAGGATCCTCTAGGCAAAGTTTGGAGCAAATCAGGGATTTTTAGCCATCTACTGTAGACCCGAGAAAATTGCACTACCGTACGAAATTATCATGATTCTCATATTCGGCGCGCCAAATACCCGTTAGACGAAGTTTGGGGCAAATCCGTGGTTTTGAAACCCCTACCTTAACTCTACCGCAAATTGAATGTGATATTCGTAATCAGCGTGCAAAATAATCTCCTTAGACGAAATTCTAGCCAAAGCCGCGACTTTCATTTTCGGTTCAACTGATGTGAAACGATACCAACTGCTTGTAATTCTGATAATGTAATCTGATTTCTTCTCCTTAGCCCGGTACCACGTCACCCTCCATGACGTTCATGATTTTTTTTTTCTCTGCAACTCTAGCTATTTTAGCTCTATCATTATCTCTCCTTACAGGGTAGCTTCTTCGGCAAATACTATCACCCTACAAGCTTCTTTGGCCATCCCCTAACTTATGTTGGTATGTTTCATCTAGCCGTTTTGTTATAGCGAGCTTCCTAATTTTAGGAATTGCTATGTTTGCTGCTGGTATGTACATAAACATGCAGTCGGATCATATACTGCGCAATCTGAGAAAGCCAGGCGAGACGTGCTACAGAATTCCTCGAGGTATTCATACTTTTCTATATTTTTGCTATCCTACTAAGAAACCAGTGCTTTTCCTCTTCGCTAACTAGACGGGTGATCTGAAGCCGTTAGCATTTCTAACGAACGTCTATCAAATAGCGTATAGGTAGTAAGGAAGCTAACATCGTTAACTTCCAATTCAAACCTCCATAGTCGTTCATGAAGGAGCTTGAGGAGCTTGGGACGGTATAATGTTACAATTTTTGTGCTTACTGTAGGCGGCATGTTCGAATACGTCTCTGGAGCAAATTATCTCGGTGAAATTATCGAATGGACAGGCTATGCAGTTGCGTCGAGAACACTTCCCGCTGTTGCCTTTGCAATTTTTACCGCTTCTAACATTGGCCCTCGAGCTGTCCAACATCATCAGTGAGTTTTGAGTGGTGAGGTATTTGCAGTCTTTTTCACTGTCTGATATTCTTTCAGATGGTACCTTAACAAATTTCCCGACTACCCCAAAGAACGTAAGGCTCTGATACCGTTTTTATTGTAAACTTCCTCTTTGATTTATTACCTCCTAACTTCTATTGACTGTGATAAACGACCGTTTAACTACAGTTTGCTTGATTATGTAATTTGCCTTGCAAAGCACTAGTACAACTTGTAACTTTATCGCAAGTGCATAGGTGTTGCTATTTATAATTTATCCTGAGTGCATGACTGTTGCCGATAACAATATTGTCGCATTCTGTTAAAAGTTTAAACTGCTATATTTTTGCTTCAAGGATTCGAATATCGTCTGAGAGATGTAGAAGGTTAAAGAAGCTTGAGGTATAAAAAGTTATACTGATCTCATGCACAGAGCGTATGCCGTTCCATTTGAAAAAGTCTCTTCTACTTTCCTCTAGTCATCTTTTGATAGGATTGCAGTCAATTAGATGGTCGAGGAAGCCACACAGTCCGCACCCTACAATCCGCGCGCTGCGGCAGCCCATGGCTTTTCCGACTTCTGAATAACGTGGTAGGTTGTTGTCAAAAGCACACTTGATAGTTTCATCTTATCTTTTGTGCTATCATGGTTTTTGGAAAACCATACGGAATAGTTTCATCTTGATCATTCGTGTTTTTTTTTCTATTAATATTCCACGTGCTATCATGCTCTGAATTAGCCTAAACATGGTTATGTCAAACAGCGACTGTAGAATGCAAATCCTTTTATAATCTTGTTTACGAACCTTGTCCCGGAACCTTTAATAAGAGTTTAGAACATGTGTCTTTTTTCAATATTGCAATATTGCTCTGAATTGTTGTCCAGCCTTCCTCTTTTTATCTGAAGCTTATCGAAGTGATTTTTATAGGGTGCGTTTCGGCAAATGACGCTATCTCCTCAATTTGTTCACAAACATGTTCATCTTAGATTCCACTCTGATAAGCGGAATGATTTACAGAGCATAGGCATTTGCCCCACGTAACCATTTTATGATAATCAACGGACGCTGGTCAACCATGCCAGAGGCAGTGGAGAATTAAGAATCTGTAAAGTTGAATCATTGAGATTGTAAAGGCCATGTCTAGGGCAAAGCATCGGGCCGCAGTTATTACTAGAGGGCCAAAACAGACCAGGTGTAATCCATTCATTGCACAGTATGCGTGGTATCTCAAGACCTATTTGCTTGAAACTGCAATGTCCTAGAAATTTCTTCGTTTTTTGACCGTCTGGAGCCCCATTAGGTGACAGTATAAACAGGTGTAAATAATCATTACTCAACCGTCTGTTTGATCAAGACGTTTCCACTGGTCGTTTATGTTACAGTCGTGAAGTGGCGTGCGCGGTATGTAATCTCGGACACTAAGCTGAGGTTAACTCCAGCATAATCATGAGCGGAACGTAGCGCCACGTCCACTCGATTTTCTAATACAAGATTGTACAGGGCAAATCAAATTCACACTTTTGAAAGACGCTAAAGGTTGATTATTTTGGCAAAGGCGGTCGCTTTTTTGTGCTATGCCACTTGTTTGACCTATCGTCATTGGAGCATGCATGCTCGCGCACGCCCGCGCACGCTTCGCGTAAATGCATGTCTGCCTTTATATGAGCCATAGCCATTAGCCTAGACTTTACCTAGGGTTCTACTTGCCCTGAACGCCTCTAGAGGCGGGTTTGCGGCATTTTTACGACCACAACCTATGTAATGGTTAGATGACTGAAAAAGACGGTTTCCACCTTGTTTAGTTGAGCCTAGTACTGCGGTTTATAGAAAAAGTAAATGCGAATTGCATCCTATTAGTAAAAGCTTTCATGCACGTATGTATAGTGGTTCTGACGCACATAGTACCATCTTCATAACGGCTATATTTGTTTTTGAGTTGAATGCCAGCCGAAACGATTGTCGTAAAGGTTCACATCGACATTTTATCACGCAGGTGCGCGCAGTGAACGAGCCTACATTTCGCATTTGAACGGATGCTCGTCGCAATTCTGCTTCTTTCGTCATTTTATAGAACACATAAAGTCAAAATGACATTGCGGTCGCTTTCGATTTAACTTGAAAGTCATTCGTGCTTTTGCATTTCTCCCGCGTGCTGCTGAATCTGCCATTGAGCTGCAGATTCTCAAATTTCGCCCTCATGTGCGATATTTGCGAATTTCTCCAACACACAAGCCGTTCGCATTTTGATTTGTTGTCGTGACCATCGCATCCACACATTGCTCCTTCAGCACACATACACAGAGAAAATAGGACTGTTTTTGAAAACATTCTGCCATCTGCATGTGTGTGACTTTGTCAGTATACGAAAATAAACAATAATTAGATGAGTGTTTTGAAGAATTTTGAGAGGCACACTGTCTTCCAGAGTGTAGTTCTCGTGTTTCATTTATATTCGAGCTGGAAGGTAGTCGCATAGCAGCTGGTGGGAAGAGTCCGAAAATGATCCAACAATGAAACGAAATATTGTTGAACTTTGATAATCAAAAAACGAATTCTGCTTGGTAACAGTGATTAAAAAATTTACATTCTGGGAAAGTAGTAGATTTCTCTTTGAATAAAGCTGGCAAAGCTGACAGTTTCTCATGATTTTGATCCTCGCTTGCGTGCTGATAGAATTGCCTTTTTCAAACTCTACCAAGAATTAAGTCCCCTAAAGGAGGTACAAATATGATAATAAATAATATAAACAAATTTATATGTGCCATTTAATAAGGTATGGGAGGAATTGGGGACCATGGGCGGAGTTTGCCATTTCAAGTCCACTATTTTTGCTAATATTCAGTCGTAGAAAACGCAACAAGTGTGAGAGTGAACGAAATCACATTGCTGATTGGAGTCTATGAGTGTGGAGGCTTGCAGAATTTTTTGGGCGAAGTAATATTGCAAAATAAAACGTTTCCTAGTTGCTTCACACTCAGGATTTATGTGATGTTTGGGGTCATCTCATACTATATGCCTTGCTTTATCGAGTATTGCACTTACAATTAGTCACTTGTTTCCTACTTTTGATTCTTATCTGCTTCCACTCTTTTATTCCTGTTCTTGCCATGCATGCGGAAAGTTTTTTCTGTTCGGGAAGGCAGCCGTTCAAAAATTTTTTACATACTTTGCTCCTCAATTTCTTTCTGAGAAAAATTCTTCATACTAAATTGTTCCTATATGATTTTCTGAGTTTTCTGCACCACCTCAGTAGGATGCAGAACTCAAAATAATTTTCTTTGGACCAACGGCAGGTTTACTTTCTTTTCTCTCCCATGTCAGAATTTTGGAAGCCAACTTGTCTTCTCACATTGGCTACCTATTTTATGGAGTGCTGAAATGGAACTTCAGTTCCTGCACTTCTATGAAATGAATTTCTTATACTTTTTCTAGCAGTTTTGTGCAATATTGAAGGAGTGAAAAAGATCAGGATTTACAAAAAATGCTGAGCTGAAAAGGGTTTTTCGTGTCAGAAATGGCGCAGTATGTAATAGATTGGAACAGTCTTTCAATAATACCAGCAATTTTTAGAGGCTGAATCGTATTTTTCCAGCATTTCCAGCTAGTTTAACTCCACAGAAATATTGAATTCGCTCTAGCACTTTTTCTTAACTCTTTTGATTACTTTGTTTTCACTGTGGCAAAACAATGCTTCATAATTTGAAGTAGGTGAAAGGGGTGAAATTTTTGGACGATTGAGCAGTTGCCATATTATTCATTTTTCTGTCTTGATCTTTATACAAATTACTTCCTTATTGCGAGTAAAACCCAGTGTGGTCCATCATACAGAATTCAACATCTGCCCATAAAGGGAATGGGAGGTGGAGGTAATCAACCGATTCAAAACAGAGTTACGAGGTATAATCTAGGACACTACGATTTCTCATGAACTCTTGATTCATTTGTTTACAGTAGAGAATCTGGGTCGAGTGACCATCAAAATTTTCTTGCGTTTTCGAGCGAAGTTTTGTCAACAAATTAGGAAAAGTTTGAGGGAGGGGAAAGTCCGAATGCTTCGATATCAGTATGCACTTGACAGCGCCGAGAAGGACATTTGATGGAGAAGACGTTATCATGGGGGTGGAATACAAATGTGTTTGTACTTTCAGTGCAATAGCTTTGGGAAACCACATGACTTAAAGTTCTATATTGACTATAATTACGGAAATTAAACTTTGAATTTTATGCTAGTATCAGAAATATGCCGCCATTATGACTGCGTAGAAGCATAATTTTAGAGTGGCTACCGATTGCTTGCTAGATTTAGAAACGATTTGGTTGAGAAAAAGACGGATGAAAAAGGCAGCGAGTAAGCGATGCTGAACATCTAATGTGGATATAATTGTAGTAGATTGATCTATGATAGCTAAAACATTCCCAATACCGTTAATGATATATAGTAGCTTAGCTTTGATCTCTCGCCCACTACCGTATCAAGAACGGTGATTGGTCCCGGAGAGAACACTGTACCTCGTGAAACACACAGATGAATTTCTGCCTATGATTGATTTTCATAAACACCGTTTGACACAAAGACGTTGACTACAAAGATAGAGTTTACATTCCGAGAATTTCTTGGGAGCAACAGCGTCTACAAGTTACCGTTTCGCCTATAAGGGGATAAAGGACCTTGAGGGCATGTGCAGGCAACTCCGGACATCGATGTGATGATCAACTTGATAGTTTGATTTATGGCAGCTTTGTACCTTCGCCCACTACCGTACACTGGAGAATGCTGACTGGTCCACTGGTAGAGTGTACAGTACTGGGCGGGAGTTTAGAGTTGAATTTCTTCCTCGTCGCAAATGAACCATATGAGCTCCTCTTTGGGCAATGGCTTAATTGAGACCTCACATTCATTTTCCACTCAAGAAGCCCCAAAGGTGTCTGAATACGGGAAAAAATCGAAATTGGTTGAAAGGTTTGCCTATCACATTATAGGATTCATTTGTGGCCAAATCATCAAACTCTAGACTTTCGCCCGTTACCGTACTTTCTCCAAGTGGACCATTCAGTGTTCTTGTGCACACTGTAGTGGGCGAGTGTTTTAAACTATTATATTGAGCCACCTTGATATGAAAGTAGTGAGTAATTATTGATTTCCCTTCTCATTCATATTATATGTAACCTCCATACCAAATTCCATGTAATCTCCCTCGAATCCCCCAACCAACACTTTCTTCAGCTAATATCATGCATTCATGCAGAGTTATAAATAGTCGAGGTAGCTATTGTCTATTTCCCTTGCAATTCTCCATGTTTACGAGGTGCTAGGAACGAGTGCTATGAGAACAACAACGAGATGCGATCGCGCGC